ATCTATCTATCTATCTATCTATCTATCTATCTATCTATCTATCTATCTATCTATCTATCTATCTATCTATCTGTTTGTCTGTCTGTCTATATCTACATGTCTCCTGGAGACATTTCTATGTCTGTGTCTATATCTATATCATCCATCTATCTATCTATCTACCTATCTATCTACCTCTGTTTGGAATTCTCCTAATTCACCACACATCTTTTCTATATCATGGTTTTGTTGAAATGTACTGTGCTTGGCAAAATCTTTAACTATGCTAGTTTCAGTTTTGGACAAATCCATCTAACCTCATACTGTTTTAACATTATTTGGATAGCTCTGGACTCACAGAATTTTAAAGCTGGGCATGTTCCTAGCATAGATTTCGGTCCCCAGTTCTTCTGTAGATGAAGAACATGAGGTCCAGAGAGATGACATGACTTTTGCCCAAGGGCAAACAGAATTAGTTTGTGGCAGAGTTGGTACTAACATCCAATTCTCTTGGGCCTCATCAATGCTGGTTCTAGGGAATCCTGGAGTCCAAAGCCTCCATTTTGGTTTTCCTTTTTTTTTTTCTTTTACTAATGACTTCACTTGATTATATACATTTCAGTGAAGGAGGGTTATTGTGACTTGACAAGTAGCTTAGTAAACATCAGAAATCTGAAATCTGATAGGCAAGCTCTGTGAAGGTTATGCTAAATGTATATTTGGCGAATCTTCTGTCATCTACTTTATAACATAAATCCAAAAAATAACATTTTGTTTTAATCTTTTGTTCAAATGGAGGAGTGAACAAAATAGTTCAATCCAAATAGTAACTATCACAAAAAAAGTGATTTGAAAATCTTCAAGGAGGAGGCATAACATTTAGAGGGGCATGGAGATCTTAAGGGGCATGGCAATCTTAAAGGCTGATGGAAAGCAGCACAGCCTTTCAAAGCTTTGGTGCTCCCATCAGACCATTTCTGTCCTTCCTTCATTCAAGAAAGTCAAATCACTGCATTATATTAAATGTACTTACAACATGAGATATATGTGATTACCTCCATGAGTTTGGGGTGCTTATCATTTTAAAA